TACCTCCTTCGCTCCCTTTGATAATGCCCCGTCTGCGTTAGCTTTTTTTTGAAAGACACCACCATCTGCAGTAGTCATCTTGCCCATACACAACCTACCGCAATTTTTCCCTCTAAAGAGTTTGAATTTGGAAGATCTGCTAAACTGTTTTTGAGAAGTCTTTATCAAAGTTAAGGTCAAAGTTAAAGAAACAAACTTATTTAATTCAATAAAATAATTTTGTTTAGTACAACCTAATATTACTTGAACCTCTTCAAATAAATTCGAAGGGGTGCGAGTAATATGAGGTTGTACGAAAGGTCTTTGGCCATTTGTTGATTTTTCTCAAATTCTCTTTCCTCTTCTAACCCAGTCAGCCACAATTATATGCTCCATCATGTTCACCAACATATTGTCTTTCAGCAGGTGGCTTATTTTCTGCTCAGAAATCTGAATTTCGAGGCAAGTGACTCAAAAAAGTCCGTTTTGAGTAGTCGGGATCATGAAGCTCCCTCTCTTTAGTTGAATCGGAACAGAAGCAGACGGTATTCTGTTGAGGGCCGGATCTGCTGAACACAAGGCGAGACAGAACATCCCATAAGGGCTTGGAGACTTTGCTGGACCTTCTTCAAAATTCCTTGACGATCGTTGCTGGATGAAGTGATCTTTGTAATGTTTTCTACGCATAGTGCATGAGATCCCATCCGCTTGCCCACATTATCGAACTACAACAGCAGTGAAGTTCGTTGGTAGGAGCTGTCAGGCAAACGAATCGCTTGCAGCTTTACCAACACTGAAGGTTACCTCCCAAGTACCAGTGCTGGGGTCAATGTCAGAGTTACTGGGTTGGTTTTAACGTCTGCTTCCTGTTGCGCTCCCACTGTGCTTCACGTGAGGAGCCCCCTTCTTGTTACCACTAACAGTAGTCATATCGCGAAATACAGACGGTAAATCATACGCTTTTGTGAAATCTGAAGGCCTTTGAGCGGTTGCCACCCATATCACGGAATCCTCTCTTGCCGTAATTTCCACTCTTTTTTCCTGCTGTGTCAGTTACAACAGATACTGTTTCCAAACATCTCCAGATGACACTTGTCACTCAAAGTAACAAGCCGAGTCAGACTTCTTTCTCGAGTTTCTGAACATCGGCAATCAAATGTTTGATATGTCGTGGAAAGACATCTGAGGTCCCTCGCAAGACGTGGGATTTTCTCCGCATCGCTTCCACCAAACGCTACCACGTTTTCTGGTTTCAGAATCAAAGTAGCCAAATATGCTTTCAGTCAAAGTCGATTTTCTCAGCCATAATCGCTGCGAAATACCACGGCAGAAATGCTCTGAAGAGATCATTGACTAGGGTTTACATACGTTTTACAATGGATGTTCAAAAATTATCCCTGGAGATTTCACAACATGCACATGTAGACAAGACACACAAGATCAGACTCCTGAAACAACATTGTAATCAATATAATAAAGAAACGGCTTTCAGAGCCAAAAATATAGTGGGTTAATTCAATTTACTGGTATATACAGTACCGTGCAGTGAAGTATTCGTTTTCACTTTTTTAAACGTAACTCCCTCAAAACTCAAGCTTTTGTTCCGATTTTTTGTAGGTGAGAACACATCACTCTACCTGATAAGGAAGCAAATCTTCAGTTGTCTAGGTGGCTTCTATACTAATTTAGAAATTTTTAATTTTTTTCGGTCCAATACCATATTACTTGTTCGAAATTCAATCTATCTAAAATTCAAAAATAATAACAAAATAACTTATATAATAACAGACTGAACAACTACAACATCAGCACTTTGTCGCAGAACCGTTTTCATCTATGACGGCTTGACACCGGCGTAAGCACGGAATCGGGTTTTTTCTTGGTGGAGGTTCCCTACGCGATCTTCAGTGGGACGGACTTTTCGAACTCGTTGTGAGCTTTTGGCCTTC